TAAAATCTATGTTAATGTCCATGATATATCAAGAAAGATATTTTTTTTCTTTTTCTATCTTGAGAAAAAAGAAAGAATCGCATTGGATGTTTTTTCCTTCTTCTTATACGTTCTTATAGGTTGTGATGGCAGCAAATATCCATGGTAGTTCTGTTAAATGTGGCAAAATTGCTAGAGTTTCTTTTCGTAATGGTTATCAACAAACATTAGGTGTTAAACATAGTGATGAATATCGAGATGAACTTGAAAAACAATTAGAAGATTTAATTAATCAAGAAAATCAATTTGAAAATGATCTTGCCAAAAGCGATGATTCACATTATTTATTTAATGATATTGACAAATGGAAAAAAGAAACCATTGAACAAATTAGACGAATAGCTAAACAAGCTAAGCAAGGTTTTAGAGATAGTTCATCAAAAACATCTAAGAAACGAGAAAAGGATCTATATGTGGATGTGGGTGTTGATGAGGATCTTCTTTTCATACGGACATTCACACTCACATCCACATCCACACTCTTCTTTGATATTCATATACATATATATATACATGAGCATCATTTGGAAATAAACATTTAAGATTCGATTTAAATTCATTTCGAATTTATTTTGATCGAAATATTTGTCTTCAACCGAACAACGCTTAACACACACCCTCACACTCTCTAGTCTAGTAGTCCTCTCCTTATGATCAAAATATCCGCTCAAAAACATGTAATACTTCCGATAGTCCTCATTAGATTTTTCGAAAAAATGATCCAAACCTCCACCAATATAGCTATGCATCCTGATAAAAAAACCTTTTCTAGAAAAGTAATTGGATACCCAAACAAAGTTCAATGTTTAGACATGCATCATATTTAATTTTGTGCAGTTGGATCGCTAACGATTGATTTTGCTCATATACATAGTAAAGTCAAGCTAATGTTTTACTACTAATATTTGTCGTTTGATTGATGTTTTTATTATTGGATACAAGCATTAGTCATAGCAGTACCTTGATGAATGACCTGCAAAGCTGATATTTGATTCTTTGTAGAGTGTGTTGTACGTCGTGGATTTCGATGATGAGGCAACCAGCAAGAGAGAATTTGAAAAAGTTCCTTCCGAAAAACGGCACCAGT